CTACTACTACTACTACTGCTGCTGCTGCTGCTACTGCTACTACTGCTGCTGCTACTGCTACTGCTACTGCTAAGAAGAAGTTGTGGTTGTGTTCTTACATTAGGTCCATGCTGTTAATAAACAAACTAAAGAGAAATCGGAAGTGACTGAGGCAGACAGCAACACCTCTCCTGGTCCCCTCCTGGTCGACACCACAGACCAGCACCGCATTCACTTGTTTGATCTCAACTGTCGTATCTGTACTGGTAAAATGCAGCCCCCGGGGGAACCCCCACGGCAAGAGGACACTCTGATGCTCGTGTCTACATCGACTCCGTAAGTATTGAACGTTTTACTATATAATACTCGTGTGTCGAAAAAGAAACTTCCCTTGATCTGAAGGTCTTTCTCCAATTTCTCCAATTTTTCACTCTGTAAAGATGAATACCTGTTATCAGCACAAAGGTTGTTTCAGGGTATCATTATTTTTATTTATTTCTCATCCAGAATACAAGCTTTGGCAGAAAGTTCAGTTCCATCTCCACCACCATTATCAATGGACATTGCATCAGTCAGGTAACACTACCTAACGCCGTGTACTTTTTTCAAATCGCCTTTCGCCTTTTAGAGCGGTCTTCATATGAGTGGGAAACGATACGGCAAATTCGTAGCAGTACCGTATCTTCCGTAGCTGTAACTACGCGTTGTGATTGGATAAATTACTGGAAATCAATGGGAAGCCATTTGAATGTCATGGCATGTCGTACCATGTGCATGAAGTCAGTACCGCATGTTTCCCACTCATACGATAACCATTCTTATGGGAAGCCATTTCAATGTTATGGCATGTCGCACCATGTACATGAAGTCAGTACCGCATGTTTCCTACTCATACGATAACCATTCTTGTGGTAAGCCATTTCTATGTTATGGCATGTCGTACCGTGTACATGTGTGCAGTCAGTACCGTATGTCTCCCACTCATACGATAACCATTCTTATGGGAAGCCATTTAAATGTTACGGCATGTCGTACCGTGTACGTGCTGTAAGTCAGTACCGTATGTTTCCCACTCANTCATACGATAACCATTCTTATGGGAAGCCATTTAAATGTTACGGCATGTCGTACCGTGTACGTGCTGTAAGTCAGTACCGTATGTTTCCCACTCAATTTTATATTTTACTTTTCTGTAATCTTTAGTTCTACCGAGTCGTTCTCCCTGGGGTCCGTCTCACCGCCACCGAACGTCAAACCCGTCAGACGTGACAAACCAGTTTGGAAAGGCTTCGTAATGATGCAAAGTGTAGCTAAGTTCGGTACCAATGCTTTCCGTGTGTCAGGTCCTTGTGACGATCTGCTTCAGTTGTTACCAGACACGTTGCATCTTCAGGGACGCATCGGCTTTGAACAAGTGTGGGATTATATCTATCAGCTACGAAGCTCAACCACTAGAGTAAGTACAACTCATTTACTCAGGCTTAGCCTCGTATCAGTATCTCAATATTCACAAATACCAACGGTAAAGTAAGGAATGCAGAACTTCAACAATACAAACACTTTGAAATTCCACGAACCTTCACTGGAACACATGAATATTCTACACAAAATTGAGGCTATCCCTGAGCAACAGAGAACTTGAAACTGGGGTTGGGGAAAAGTATATTTCATAGACCTTTTCTGATTTTGATAAACATGATGCATTGTGGTCTAGCTAGGGTACATACAGTATATTAAGGCATGAAGAGCAAAAGAGGTTGATGGGGATTGCGGGAATGTATGTTGCACGATTTTTTTTTTTTTGTATCAACCCCCGTACGCTTTGTGTGTGTGTGTGTTTGCTCGATGTTTCAAATTCTCGTACCCAAACCCTTCTCAGTTTTCTAACGAAAAATCGTGAGTAGGATCTAGGTACGAGAATGGATATTTCGTTACTGAAAGAAGAGGTTGCGCGATATTTCTTTCGTAGGTGAAGTGATTGCTCGATATTTTATGTGATTTGCGCAGCCCCCTTTTCAATTCACCTAGCTTTCACGTGGTATAAATCGTGTTGCTTTGCGTGACGGTCACCAAGAAAAACCTTTTGGTGACCGTAACACAATCCAACACAATCTATACTACTTGATGGCTAGCGCTCAAAAGGGGATGGTTCGTCCCTTATAGGTTGTATTTACGGTTTTCTCATTGTCTCACAGGATGTATCAGTCATACGTTACGAGGCATCATCTGACGAGGAGAAGACGAGTTACGTGTCACTCTACTCATATTTCTACAGCCGTAAGCGATGTGGAGTGGTGAATAACTGTTATACGGGTGTCAAGGACATGTATCTTATGCCTTTAGCATCACATTCACCGATACCTAACGAGCTGCTTCCATTTGATGGACCAGGTAATACATCATGTTTATGACCCGTGTAAGATAAACCCTAGTCTCCCACACAGCCGCTTTCAGTGTCGTCACGAAACACTTTCTCCCCTGAATGGAAAGCGTTGCGTGACGCTTGCGTGACGGCTGTGTGGGAGACTAGAAAAAACCCTGCCACTAAGTAAATAGAGTGAAGTCATTAAATCCGTGAAATAGATATTAGACTAATACACTTTAGTAGACCCTAATTCCATTGTTTTCTTTTGTGTCTTTTTGATTATTACACGTTGACTAGTATTTTTTGGTTCGCGGGTTAAATGCCTTCGCTCTAAAATAATAACATATAAATAGGATTTAGCAGTGGGACTTCCACAGAGTGGCTCTTCATCTACTGAATTTAACTCCCTACCTGGGGATCAATACAATTAAACACGAATATTTACATCCCCAAAATGTCCATTCCCAAGGAAAGAAATTTATTTGTTCTGATCATCAGATTGGATATTTGGTAAATGGGTCAATAGATACTGATCATATTCCTCCTTCCCTTCTCCTCCCGCACACGTGATTAAGTCCGTCTAGCTGTCTAACTTGTTGTCAAATCTACAAAAAACTATGTCTCTGGGCTTCCTATGAAAGGTGTCCTGGCCAAAGTATTATCTCCACAGGTACCCCACCAATAGGAAAATATAGTATGAGGAGATTAGTGACGCCTGCAGAGGAGGCTATAACGTAGCATAACTCGTTTGTGTTATTTGATTTCAAAGGATTAGAAGAACCACGGCCCCACATGTTACTAGGACTCATCGTACGCAATAAACCTCACTTCAAGCGACCACGCCCACTACACCACAAACCTACGTCATCACCTCCAGCCAAGCGTCGCCATAGCAACACTAATAGAAGTAACGAGGAAATCCTAGCGAAGGATTCCCCACCTGATGTCGAAGACATTGTCTTCCAGTACGCACACAACAGAAAGACATCCAGTGACAGCAAACCTGATGCGTCTCCATCGTCGGGGTCGTCCAGTACTCTCAGCTCCCCTTCTATCGTAACTCCTAGTATCTCAGGCAGTACAGACGCGTCGTTAGACTCATCGTCGCAGAAGACAAGCCAAGAGGAACTACATAAACTAGAAGCTCGCGCAAAGCAGTACATGGCATCAGGTGAGCTAACGAAACAAAAATGAAACCTTCGCTTTTGTTGTAGTTTTGCAGTAATATTAACGGGACAGACATTACATACATCGTTGCTTGCCCGCAGTAGTCTGTGTTGTTTGGTGGTATGCAGTTGTTTTTCTTTCTACCCCTGCCCTCCCTCTTACCAAAAAATAAACAAGCAATGCATACTATGCCAGCGGCTTTACCTGTTCAGGATATGAATTACGCAGATGGCATCTGTTTTGACTTCTCTCTAATCGGTGTAGCTCCAACTTTTTCAATACTCTTAAAACAGAGCACTGATGGAGAGAGGTGGTTAAAGTGCGCACCATCAGCTTCCTGGGATAGCAGCGCATTGTTTGCCACCCAAAACGTAAAAGGCAGGCGCCAAAATTACATTTCCTTATCAATTCTTCCACGCATGGGTAGCCTGTGTACAAAATTCTGTGAAGAGCGAATTAGGTCGAGAAGCACCAATAATTACACTTGGGCTTCCTGTGTAGAGAAATTTATTGAGAAAAATCCCATTTGATTTTGAATGTTCCACCCAGGCTAAAACCCATCCGTAAAACGTTCCTTGTAAACGTTATTGATTTATGGAGTATTATTATTTCTTTACTACAGCCCTTCAGCCAAGCAGTAAAACAGAAGAGAAAGACAATACAAAGACAGCAGAAGAAAGCAAACTAAACGACGATGACGACAAGCCATACGACCCAGAGGAAGACTTTGACTTGGATTTGGAACTGGAAAAACCAATCGACGCGAAAAAGAGTATCTCTGTGAACACCCCTACAGTTACAGCTAACGTAGCCGCTGCTAATGCTGTAGAGGTCTCTTCCTCAGCAGGGGTGAGCGCCACGCCCACAAGCGATGCCAAATCTGTACAACAGTCGACTGTACAAAATATATTACTTGCCTCATCGAGTGCTCCAGCTGCTCAAGTGAGTAACATTCCCTTAATAACACCAGCTGTTTCAACAGGACAAGAAACATCGGTTCCCTCCCTGCCCCTTTCTATCTTTATGCCCATGACAAGTACCCCGTCGGGTACGTTATTGACCAGTACAGCTAAGCCCCTGGCTACTCAGCCTGTCAGCTTACCAGCCGTTGCTGATCTAGCAGGCATCGTGAAGCTCATTGGAGCAACCTTGAAACAAAATACTGTTCCTGGACAAGCAACAACTGGTGATGCGCAAAATACTCAGACCACTACAGCACAGGGTGCAACTACCGGTACTGTACAGGGCGCAGGCACTAGCACAGCTAGGGACCCTAAACATGATTACCCGAAGGGTTCCTCTGGTCCACATCGAGATACCCAGTACAGAGGGTCTGATGGAAAAGCCGACACGTCTCATAGCAGCAGTGCACCAGAAGTATCCGGACGTCCCTCTAGAGGGCCACATCATGATGAGGGCTCAGAACACAAGGACCGTTCTGCGCCAGGAGGAAATTATTCCGTAGCTGATCGACAACGAATAGATAGGGAGCGCCTTGAGTGGCGAGAGCGTCGATACTCGAGAGATGGTCCAAGAGATCAAAGGGGACATAGAGATGTGGGCCCTCAAGATGACAGATGGAGGGACCAAAGAGACCCACGTGGGCCTCCCATTCGTCGACCATCGGATGATCGATACCAGAGCCACGGCGACCAATACGGGCCCCACCGGGGGGATCACCAAGACCGGGGTCGGTACAATCCTTCCCATAGAGGAGATGACCGTAGAGATCGAAGGGAGAATCGCAGAAGCGACCCGAGAAATAGCGATCGCTGGAGAGAAAGATGGCGACGATGACAACATAAAAAGAAATTCCTTTTTAAACGTTAAATAGTCTATAAAAAGAATCATCGTGACCTATGGACACGAGAAGATAGCGTTTCCTTGGGTAAACGTTTGTAATATATTTTGGTACCGTTTTAGAGATTTGCTTATTGGTTATATATTGTGAAGGCGCGTTCTGATTGGTCGGCACATTTCGAAGTAAGAACCCAGAAAATATCCTTATTTTGCCTCAAATCCATTTTTTGTTGCTGAATTGATCTATTGGTCAATAATTGTTATATTTAACGAACCTTGATAGAATCCTTAATACAAATTTTATCCAACATGGCGGCTGTGACGTCACAAAAAATTGAAAAAATGTAATTTTTGGAGTTAAAAAATTGTTTTTTTTATTCTAGAGCTTTCTTATTTCGGAATCCGACTATCAAACGAATCGTTACCGAGTGACTTGATTAGGTTATGTTTACACACTACACCTGATTTGTTTTTTTAAACGAAAGAAATTGTTTTTCCTGTTGCGATAAAAATGTACCGGAAGCAATTTGGTATTACTCGCTACGAAAGTAATTTGCTCTTGATCCAAAATAAATGGTACAGCAACCTCACGGTGATAAAGGTCGAAAAAGATCATTGCCTTAATGACATCGTTTGTAGCTAGAAAACCCAATAATTTCTCTTTTTTTTTTTTTTTTTTYKTTTYCMTWTTTTAAGTTTTTGTCATTTTAAGAGCCAGTAAGTCGAGGGTACTTTCAGCTCTCTCCTCATCAAGCATTCATTACATACCTTTTTAAGTTGGCGTATTTCCGGGTCCAACTGCCCACAAAAACCATTAAAATAAAGCAGAAAAATGTTCTCAAAGACTTTTAACCTCCGTCTGAAACGGTTAGAACTTTGGACGAGAAATCTTATCATGAAGAAAAACTAAAAAAATTATTATAGACTGCCTTTCGTTTTGGACCCGGAAGTGATTTTCCGTACGATGGACGTCACACTTAAAAGCTCTATTGTTACTTTAGCGAGCTTGATCCACGGTACACGTTTTCATTTGAAAATTTTATGGTAAGAAGTTTTTAGAAAACTTACGTTAATATATTAAAACAAACATTTTAGAGTCTATACTTCTGTGTTTACTTGGTACAGTTTACTAAGCGCTGAGCCCGGACAATTCCAGACAAACACTATTTTTTCGTATTTTAATTCCCGTCCATCAAACGTATATATGGCAACCAAAAAATTGACGTCTGGAAATGTCCGACGTCTCAGAACCTACGATCTATGCACTTGTCTGATATGGTAAAAGAAAGTCCGGAGACAAAAACCGGCGTTTTTGTCTTGTGCGTCATTTGAATTGATTACTGGGTGGTGGTGTTTCTAAGTCTTCACTCAATTCGATCAATCTTATCGCTCATGGTTAAGCGTAGACAGTTGGACCGTTATTGGCCGTTTCATGCTATTTTTCCCCCACTTGAAAGAAAGTGCTAAAGAGCTTGTCATGCATATGATCACTTTTTACCATATTTGGTAGAAAAGCCATTCGAAAGTTGTGAGTGATAGGTAGTTTAATCAATTTGATGTCAATTATGGTGTGGTTTCCACTTGTGGTTAAAATTCATCAAATAAAGCTTAAGTAGGGACAGTTGCTATGTCTTCAAGGTGAAAAAATGACCACAAATGAAATTTAGCGTCATTTCTAACTTTAGATGTACTGGTCATCATGCTTTACAATTCGGTCTGTAACGTTCAGTAAGACTACACAAGTGCATAGGCGTTTTTGTTCTTACTGTAAATATATCATTTATAACAAAATCAAAGATTAGAAAATAAACGTTCAAGATAGTAAGTACAAAGTGCATGAATTGTTTTTATGTTAGTCTGGCATTTTGTAGCTAAGGTGCCTTGAATTCCAGATAGCTGAATACTAATTTACAGATAGTGATACTCCCAAAGGCATTTCAAATGCAAACGTGAGGTACAAAACATTCTTCATTCTTCACTTCATTCTTCACGCATAAATTGATGCGTTGGAGGGGGGGTTTGAAGTTGATTTCAAGTTAAAACAACGCACTTTTGGTAGCACCCCTTTACAAACATATTTGTGCTCCCCCAGAATTGAGTTGATGAGCTCTTCCTTTTGCTCCGCAAGCACTACTACCACCAACTCACGTGATTTTTGTCGGAGGAAAACCGGAGAACAACCCCAACCATTAATTATTAACGGACCCTTTTCATAGGATTGGGTTGTAACACTACCCATCTCTGGCCTTTCTTTAAAGCTATTTGGGGTTAAGAAACAAAAATACTACTGATAACAACAACAGTACAGGTGCTGCATATATTTATTTCCTATTGTCACATCACTGGATAGAGTATGCCTTGTACAAGTTTGTGAAAAATGCCAGCACACAACACCATTACTTACAAAAAGATGACAACATGCAGAAAAACCAGTTTCAGCTGCATGAAGTTTAAGTTCGGTGACACAGTGACAGCAAAAACTTGTGCAAGAGTGTCAAGACAACTTTTGCAGCAAATTGCTGTATGAATATTAACCTTGTAGTAGTAACTTCGTGTGAGAAGATTTAAGAAAGAACCACCTTTTCCTTGTGCAACTGAACATGTCTTGTTGCAGCACAAGTTTTACAAGGAACCTTCTAAAAGTTATTCTGTAATGCCATATTGCACATACTTTTTCATCATTATCACCATGCATATGTTAAAGGCATGGTATGTTATGCACACGGCAAATTGACATACTTGTACAACCATTTACTCCAACTCAAAATAGATATTGGCAGTTAACCTTTAAAAAGGGAAAAATTAAACTTAAGAATAAAAAGTGGTCTCAGTTAAAATAATTTAAAATGTAAAAACAAAGATATAAAATGCATCTAAGAGACTATTTTTAGACATTGGAATAGAGGCTTTGCACCATCACATGCCAGCACCCATTATAAAGCCTAGACTGCCTGTGGTTACATGGCATAATGATAAAATCCCTTTGCTCTCGGGAATTGAATTGAATCTTTCTCTTGTAAAACAATTGTATTGTTCCTGCCATCTAACATGGCGGCCTTCACATGATGGTACAAAGCCTCTATAGACACAGCCCAATTATTGTTCAATCACTATCGCTTGTGTGGCAATTTCTATCTAAATGAAATCATTTCAATGATGTTATGTACAAATATTTCACAAAAGATTGGTGAAGGTTTCGCTCTATGTGAAATTCCCTCAAATTTGTCTGTACGTCTTTCTGGTATAACTTCTTCCGACATATTTACATAATTTAATTTATGAATATAATACATTTCTAGTTTGGTAAACAACATGTATCGAATCCTTCACCAACCTTTTTCGAAATAGCTGTATATCAGTTTCAGTTTCTTGATAAATAATAACTTATAACTTATGCACCATCACTGACTGCTTGTCTAAATTTACTGGTTTTTGTCTAAATTCAAGGAATTTGTTATAACTATAATATGCTACTACTCTGATCATTTATGAGTGAAAACATTTACAACCAAGTGAATAATATTCTCAAAATCTAAATAAAATGAAGATAGAGTACCAGAATAAAACGTTTGGCTAAAACTGTGCTGCCATAAATACTATTTTTCTAGATTAAATTCCAAAAGTAGTTTCAATGCATAAAGTTGGGTGCTGTTTTGCTGTCGGTATTGCAAAGTCAAGCTGTAACAGTCCTATTTTGCATGTTCACCTAATATAACATATTTCAATGTTTTGCAACAATAACTTTATACAGGTACAGTCTTCGAACGAACAAAAACATTATAACTACATTATGTACAGTCTACAATCAACAAGAATCCAGTTAAAATGTGCATGCTCTTTCATTTATAAATGTGCTATAACATTTCTTGAAATATTGGCATCAATCTCAATTTCTGACATATTTGTGTGAAGTGAGTTTTTAATAGCTATTAACTAATGCTTGGTTGAAATTGGTTTTCCCATGCTGTCAATCAAGAGAATAAGCACTTAATAATAATTATTGATGAGAGACAAAGACATGTCAACAGTGATATCAACAAAATACCTCAACCATGGCCAATGATTATAGGATTCCAAACGAAAAATTGATGGCCGCAACAAACCAAAATTTAACAGACAGATAGAAAGTTGGTAAAACTTTAGTATAATAATCACAAGATTCTAATTGCTTTGGAATTCCTTGCCTTAAGCTATAGCACACAACATTTTCAAGAAAAGTTAGAAACAGTACATACTCATTTCCATAATAAATTATCCATACCCACCCCACAGAGGAATTTTGAATTTCCTGGGGGGCTGGGGGTTGTATGGAAGAAAAGAATGAAGAAAATTGGAATTTCCAAAGGTTGGGAGGGGTCTTTAATGAAATCCTCCATGAGGGGGTATGGATAATCATTTCTGGAACTACACAATCTCTTTCTATATAGACAATTATATATAACTAGAGAGTTATGGACTATACAATGGGTCATCCATAACTAGGAAAATGAGTGCAATGGATTTGTTTAGATTCTCTTATGCATACAATAACTAATAATATTTATATTTCATGCCTGTGTAACTACATAACTGCATAGTGCAAAAATCTGCAAACATCCTGTGACAGGCTCTGCTTGCCTAGCTTTTCTTACTTTATTTGATATTTCAAGTAGTAAATTAACTTTCCAAAAAGTGGATGGATTGGTGATAGGCAGGCTTAATCTTTGGAAGAGTTAGAGTTTCATCCTGAAGAACATTGGCGGCATTATATACATAGCTAGGTAGCTAGCCCAATTTTTTATCATTCCCCCCTACCCCCACCACTCTTAGGTTGGGTTCCTGGGCCCAGTTGAATAAAGCTCTTTTAAGATAAAAAAGCTTAAAAACACTCGCACGTATTGTCTTAGTACAATGGCCTATTGTTTTGGAACAATACTTATGGCTGCTCTTATCTTAAGAGAGCTTTATGCAACCGGGCCCTGGTCTTTCCCTTAACAACTAGTAGTACTGTGACTCCTGTATCCTCTGGACCAATCAGAAACCATAAAAAGAGACACTAGCCAATCAATGAATACTTGATAATACCCACAATACTACAAGTTTCTTCAAACCAAATATCTGGGGTAGTGCACCAAAACAATCTCACAAGGTTCACAATCCAATTAAATGAAAATAGCACTTTATGAACACCTAGTTCATTTAAGTGTCTAAATTGGTAGAATATTTTATACCACGGATGTTATACTTGTTTGCTTCAAGTTTTGCTTCTTGTTGGATGATGAACCTCTGTTAAGTATTCATGAAGAGCTAAAAACGAAGATAATCCTTTGTTAATGAAATTTAAACGCAGGTGGTGGTGATGTTTTGTGATGGTGGTGGTGGTGGTGGTGGTGGTAGTGTCAACTAAGATGGTGATAAAAGCAATGAGGAAGATGAGGAAGATGACAGCAATGGTGGTGGTGATTATGATGATGACAGTGATGGTGGTGGTGATGATGATGACAGTGATGGTGATGATGATGATGATGATGGTAACATATTAATGATATTACCATTTACACATACAATGAACCTTTAAAGTATGAACAAATTTCATATTATTTCAAAAGAATGCTTTTTGTCTAAATCTGTACAGACTTTGTTTGACTAAAGAAAACACATTAGACATTGTTGCTTTTAATGTGACAGCAGGTTTCTCAAAGTAGATTTTACAACACATCTCAATCACATGCGTGAAATCGTACAATTCACCATCGTGACAAACGAAGTAGGATTTGGTGGACATCAATCAATGCGTTTCCATGACATTCCATAGGCACGTGCGCTTGAAAGCTTTGTGTTTTCCGACAATGCTGGCCAGAAACACTTTGATAAGCGTCCACCAAAACTTTATTATGTCTCAAAAATTTTGATTGAGAAGTGCTGTAAGATCTGATACAATTATAACACATAGCCAAGCTGGCAAATAATCACGTATATTACATCTCAAATCCTTCATAATTATCACAACTCACTTACATGGGCTGCATCTGCATTCTTGATGATTTGGTTGGTGGGTGATATGCCGAGTAGCTGTCAAATCCTCCAATGTAATCAACTGATAATAAAAACAAAATAGATTTCAGTAAATGAAAATCATAGACCTTCCACAGGGATCCCAAGCTTGGTTTTTGTATCAGTATATTATTACAGCAATGTCTGTCGTGAATGAACAAGCCAGTAGCCATGTTGACTAGAATAATAAACTTTTCCTCACATAGCCTCACATTCAAGCACCAAAGGACGAGGTTATGTGGGGTGGGATTTTTAAAGGTATTTATTCTAATGGGAGTATATCACTCCATAATCAAGATCCAGCATGTACATGTTTTTTAAATTTGTTGGAAAATTCAAAAATGTTTTTTTATCTTCCCGACTCAGAGAAAAGGATTTGTTATAAACCACATAATGATGTTTACAGTAAATAAACTGTAATAAAAAGCAAGCTCGGGCTCTCTGTGGATGCTCCAGGATCTAGCTGGAAAGATAAGGACTAAGAAATCAAGACAACAGAAGTTCATACTTACAGTGATCATCATCTTCATGATATGTTCTTACAAACCAACAACCAAGCCAGAATCCAATGAACTAATACAAAATATCAAACAAATGAATCACTTTGAGGCAGATCAATTTGTTTAGAGGTGAAATAGGCCACTATAGATTACAAACAAATGTATGGTAGTGTGGTCAACAGGTCTTGCCACACAACCATAAATTTCTTTGTAAATCATACCGCTTTCAAAAACATTTCACTCCCAAAATATAGAATACATTACTCTCAAATTTTCAGTAGTTACTAAATGAGACATTCTCTTTCAATTTCTGGAGTCAGTTTGCTTGTAGCTTGAAATTTTTTTATGCTAATGAGGAAAAAACTTAAATAAAGATCGGCTTATAATGCAAATAACTTACAGCTAGGATGCATTCTGTCCCACTCTGAATTGACTCCACAAACTAAAAATAATAAAAAAATTAACCATAAAAATTGAAATATATATTTTTTATATGCTAGAGTGGTTTTCATGTGAATAATAAGATACATTATTGATTTATATTACAGCACGTACCCAGTACAAGATGCTATAACATTGAAATGGCTTCCTATTAGTTACAGTATGGTCATATCATTTCCCACTCAAATGATAACCACTCTAATTCAATCAATTAACAAGTGAAAATATGTAGTTCCAGAAATTATCCATACCCACCCCACAGAGGAATTTGGAATTTCCGAAGAGTGGGGAGGTCAGAGAAAAAACAAAAATTACAGAGTTTGTATGGAAGAAAATTTGAATTTCTGGGGGTAGGGGGTGTCTTTAAAAAATTCCTCCATGGGGGGGGGGGGGTATGGATACTTTTTGGAACTACACAAAAGCAGGCATATACATGTTGACCTTTTCTGATTAAAAAAACAGGATTTTTGGTGAAAAATGGTCTGGCTACAGTTCAAAAAAATACCTCATAAGGCATTATAAACTAAAGATATTTTTACCCAAGCTATACCACAATACACCATGTTCGCTATCTGAGAACAGTTCTTCCTTCAACACCACAGGTAACACATACCTCATATCTGATAAGGCAGCCATCAGGTGACATGACAGTAGATGTTGCAGTAGAGTTAGAAGAATTGATGCTTCCACATCCAATGCCATTTTTCGACCACCAGCTCTTGTGGCCTGTCTTTAAACTCAGCCAATCTTCTTTCTGCATAAGACGACAGCAAAAGTAGATGTAAAACATGAGGTTGGCAAGTTACTATCAAATGACCACTTCAGAATTCAATTCAAGGATCTCAAAAAAAATTAAAGGTTGTCCACATTTCACTGAAGTATGCTTTACTTATAGCCTTGGAAACAGCAGTGAAAAAGATACTTAATTTTATAGTCTAGTGAGATTTTTATAAGACAGACATCCCCCTCTCTCAAAATAATGCTCTATAAGACAACCATAAAAAATCTGGCCAACATACTATTTTGTTATATAGCTACGAAACTAGCTAAATCTAAATGTATCCTCACCGGGAAATTAGTACAATAATTCGGATCTAGTGTCAGATTTTTTTCAGGGGGCGTCACATCATGTTGATCTACAAAGTGCTCGGTACTCGAAGTATTTGTGGCATGAAGCCTATTGATAATGGATAAAACAGCTCAAAAAATCTGAAACTGCTGTTCATTTTCTTTGAGGTGAGTGTTTCGATCCCCAAAAACAATGAATTGCAAGAAATGTCATGTGAGTAAAGCTTGGAGTGGGTTTTATAGTAAATCAAAGCGTTTCTACGAATGTAGAGCACTTTGTAGATCGAAATGATGTGACGCCCCCCGGTAAAAATCTGACACTAGATCCGAAAACCTGACTCGAAAACCTGACACCAACTTCACTTTAGTACTAAAACCATGTTCCGGAATATTCAGATATGCAAATCAGGAGTTCTGATACCATTAAGTATATGAGTTAGGCCGCTTCTCTCACATGTCAAACTTCTTACAGAATTTTCTGGCACTTAGAGGAAATTGACTGAATCTTTAAAGCAAACAGTCTATAATTTCGTTTTGGGAATTTTTGAAGCAAAAGAATGTGATTTTACACTGGTAAGAAAAAGTAATAGTTGAATATTCAGGAGCATGGTACACAAAAGGAAAGTATTGGCTGTTACACATTTTATCCCCTCATTAGTTTCTGTACACCATTTACGTTAGGTCATAGATGGAAATAGTGAAAGAAAAACATAAAAGGAAAAGGTTCAATGTTAAGGCGAAATTTGTATACTTACATGTGAGAGAGTTCCAATTTCTAGGTATAGGGCAATTATAGTAAGGTTTATTGCAAACCAAATCAAGTTCCACACTGAGTACTGCAAATTGAAAGGGTCAGCATATTAACATCGATAGTATATGTATGTGTGCATGAATACCCTTTGTACAATGAACTTAAGTGTTGCTCCTACAAATCCTTGATATGCATGAGGTAATCCTTTATCCAAATGCTTATGTTGCTATTTTTTAATTTAATATTTAAATACTGCTCATTTATTCTGTGTCGGGTTTGACTATTTTATGAATTGTTGTGTCCCAGATTATATACTCCTGTTAAATCAAAAAAGTTTAGAAAAAAGACTTGAGCCACATCTTTAATCATTCGTTTTTCAACAGAAATATTTGATTGACAGCAACTAACGAGAAAGACCTTTCAGGAAAAATATGTTTTGAAAACATTGCTGATCACCTTCAGCGAATAATAGTTGGAGGTAATCTTAGATTTGACAGTGAAAGAGCACCTATAAGTAGTCTACATATTGTTCTTTATTGTTATTCATACATGTATGTGTGAAAATTTATTGACTTTTGACTTGGGATAAAGGATAAAATGCCAAATCAATGACTCCTTAAATATATATTTTTGTTTGAAAGACGGCATGAGTTGCGCCCAAACAACAACACAAATAAAGCTTGACAGCAAATCGATAAACACAATTTGGTCCAAGAAGGCGTTTGGGAAGTGAATAATTTTCTTCATAACTGGGGTGGAAAATTTAAAGACAGCAGACGTGAACACCTGCTGAAAATAAAAAGTGTTTACTGTTTCAGAGAATTAAGCTGCAGCACAAGAGAGTCTTGTGAAGGATAAAAACCAAGATAAAATCTCCTATGGCTTCTTAAATTGAAAGACCAAACCCAAATAACAACGATTATGATATACAAGACATTTAGCAACCCACTATTCAAATATGCTCAAGTAAAGATTTTTTGTAACGCCTCTAGAAAGTACGGTTCGGCGTTTCAGCTAAAGATCTATAGTATGCAAAGCAAAAAGAACACAAGCTTTGCAGTAGTTTGGATTGAGCAGAACGCTACAAGCGCAAGGGGAAGCACTAGTTTCGATAAGCTTAACTCACCGTAATTATATAGGGAGCTCGATACTGATGAACACCGAAGATCCCCACTATCAGAAAAGCGATGTGGATAAAATTGGTAATAATCGGAGCCCACATAAATCCGAGAAAGTCAAATACCAAGCGCTCGACTACCAAGAGCTGTGAACAAAATACAACAATCAATGTCAGCATACAGTTCAAGATATATAGGGMTTCGCTATGTTAGATTAATTAGAAAATTCCTAAAATTTAACCCCGTAAAAGATTGTATCTTGGACACCGAGTAGGTAGAAATTCTTAACCAAAGCTGCTGTCGATCGAAAATAATTTTTCTCCAAAACAAATCGTTCCACTACATATAAAAGCTTACCATTTGAAGAACGAGAATGAAAAAGAGAATATTTCTAGACACACAACAAGCCATTTTCGTCGAAGAAACGGCTTCAAATTCAGCGTTTGGGAAAATAGAAGAAAATCTTGAAGTGACAGTAGGATTTTGTCACTACATTCCAAGGCAGAGACGCGATCGTTTACTTCAGATGTTGGATCGTTACGCTCCAAACTACATCTGAGAGGCTTTTTGTCTCGACGGAAGTTACTGGGAGGAACCCAGGGATCTAAGGGACATTTAGGGACTAACAGGGACATTGCGGGATTAACGTCAATAGTATATTGAAAAATCGACTTCCAGTTCCAAAAACGAAAATTAGTTCTATAGAGATTTTTCTTATTCTAGCTTTATCGTCATGACAGGATTTATTGTTCATATTCCTACTTGTATCAAGTGAAGTTTAAATGATTGACAAGTCTTTAGTTTTATTTTAATGGAGAGAGTTGTAACYGGAAATACGTCACGACTTTAAAGAAGGCTCTAAGGGGCATCTTGGGTCATTATGATGTAACCCGCTTCAATCCATGCGCCTTGTTAGGGAAATCAAGATGGCGGCATATCGTGCAGTAGTTGGTCGTCTTTTTGCTCTTTCTAGACCAGTTTGCTTGGTTAGAATGATGAGTGGTGAAATGGGAAGCGGTTCTGGAAGGGTAAGGCTTTTAAGTCTACAGCTGTTGTTTTTTGTTTGATAGATCGTCATAAAACCTGCGCTTGTGAAACAGTGCGTTGTGGTTATAGTTTATTGTACGTTTAGTATAACATTCGTACTTTTTGTGTTCTTTAGTTAAAGTATAAAGTATTCCGACTTTTCCTTACCTACTTTTCCTTACCTACTTTAATTTTTTAGTTACTCAAAAAGTATAGCAGACCAAATTAAATAGTTTATTCTATTCAGTTTCTCTCAATGTGTGGCAAAAGATGTATATGTTGCATGAAGATTTGTTAAAAATTATCGGATTTTCCCAGACTAGTACCTTTGCCTTGATATATCTTCTGACATGTTTTTAATCATGCATAATTTTCAAAGTTTTCCTAAGAGAAGGTCCATGAGTGTAAATGAAATGACCTGGCCTTAGAGATTCCAGAGGTCTTCACCCCAGCATAAACACGTGCAATTAACATAAAAAACAATTGATAGGCTGCAAGCATTCCCAAGAGAGTTAAAAGACAAAATTATGGCGGCCATTGTGGTACCGTTAACGATGGATGCTAATGAGAAATCTTTTGTTAAATGGTACCAACATGGCTGCGATGACATAACGTGCAAACAAAGAATATACCCCCTGCATTCTAAATTCAAATATGTTCTGTGGGTCATCCATTCCGTGATGCATATCAGGTTATAAAATACAAGGTTGAAGGTAAATCCCCTAATTGACTGTAAGCCTAATGTTTACTTTTCATATTTTGACAGGGTGGAGGAGGTGGCGGAACTATCAGGTAGGCAAGAAGCAAATCAATGCCATCAATTGCGTCTGCCCACTATAATGCATGTGCAAAAAAAAAATGTCTTGACACGACATCAAACGTGATTTCAAAATTTTTTTCTTAATTATTTTTTACCAGTAATGTTTAGAAAGGAATGAGTAACGACTAAGTTAAATCTAATTTGGCCTGCAATAATGATTGGCAACCGATTGGCCATTAAGTTTTAAGCCCTAGTGATTAGTATTTATTTGTAAACAGATGACAATACATGTGGTGCAGTTTGATTTGTCTGTGGTGCAGAAGCATGAAAAGCCTCTTCATTGACTTAAAACTAATACTATTGAATCAAAAGTGATGATAAAAATCTTGATGTTTCAGAGATGCTGGAGGTGCATTTGGTAAAATGGAACATGCACATGAGGAACAGTACTTCAGACAACTGGTAAAAAATAAAATTATTTTTACTGTATCAAGGCTAATGGGCTTACTCACTGGAAAAATAGATTTTCCCAAGCGTAGCCTCACATTCTTGAGAACATTTTTTCAGGTTAAACAGAGGTTTTTATGAAATTTCTCATGAGAATAAACGTGGATGCCTTGTGAGTAAGGCCCATAATAAGCACTTTACATACTTACAGGTCACTTTTTTTTGTGCTTTCATTTTTGCACAGGTCGCTTAGAGTGCAAACATTATATCTATGAAACATAATTATTACATTAGCACAATTTTACTTTGCCAGTGAAAATATAGTACAGATTATACATGGAGTGACTTTATTTGGCTCGTTAAACAAAGTTCTATAATTAGTGACCAACAGTGCAAGTAAAACGAAAGAAAACAATGGAATTTGTGAGTCTACTATTATGTATTACGTTGACTATTCTTTCATGGGCATAGTAAAATCACTTTGGTTATAAAATGCTAAATCCATTGTCATTCAAACTGTTCCACAGACCATGAATTAAAATCCCTCTGTTATTTAGTTACGAAATGAATTTAGTACAGCTTCCTAAATTGATTGTTTGCTCAGGAATGTGGTAAACTGAGGTGCTTACTCTCTTGTCTTTTTCTTTCTTTCTTTTTCTTTCTTTTCTTACAGCAACAGCAACAACTTGAAGCACTGCGAGAGCAACAAAAACACATGATTGAAACAATTGAAAAAGAAATAGAGCACCATGAAGAATCAATCAAACGCAACAAGGAACAACTAGCAAAATACCACAAATTAATGCAGAAATCAGATTCCAAGGGTAGTGGCAGTGACTCAGATTAAAAGCATTTGGAAGCAGAGTTGACTATTTGTTATTATTAAAGGAAATTGGTTTTCTGATCTGCTGAATTATTGTTGTTGTGAATCAATTTATTGTTAACAGTTTCAAGTCTGTCGTCTACTGCCTCATTGTGAAATGTTTTATATCATTTGGTTTCAATTGGTGCTTTTTGCCATGATTTGCATATTTATGAATTAAAAAAAGTGTGATTTCCATGCTGTATGTTGTGGGCATTTTGAAATAATTTTTTGTAAAGCTAACAGTTAATTAAGTAAAACAGTGTTTCTTTAACAAATGGAACCACACCAGAATTCAGTTGTTTTTTCGGAATAATTGAGCTCCAATAGCACACTGACTCAAAAGAGTAGCACTTACTTTGTAGGTGGTGGGAGAGAGTGCAAATAAGGGGAGTGGAGCCCGAGGGGGTTACTCCCCTATATTCACTATAGGGGTACATGCCGCCAAACAGGGTGTGACTTTCAGCAATTCTGCTCTGGAACAGGGTATATAAAATCACGCAGGGTATACGAAATCATGCCCTCCCCTCTCTGGAACAAGGTATCTATTTTCGCAATACCGGAATAGGGTATGGTTTGTCAGATCTTGCTCTGGAACAGGGTATGGATTTCAGCAACATTACTCTGGAACAGGGTCAGGGTTCAGAGGGCTCAGCTTCACATCCCTACCCTAAACTGGCAAAAGTACCTCCTCTGGGGAGGGGAGGCACTATTTGGAAAGAGAGTTGGCAGTATGCTTAGCCTGAAAAATTTGAGGGCACTTTTCTGAAATTCAATCAAGTTACAAAGGTCAAAATTGAGTCCAACTTGCAGCTAGAAGTGTTGGTTTTTATTCACTAGAGGGAATTCAGTTGATTGTTATGGGGACATAAGCAACACAGGGTGACACTACTGTTCAAAATGCATCATCTTATTTCTGTGGTGGAGACAACGCCCTTGTTTTTTTTAAATGAAAATTGGTGAGTGCTCCCCTCAGGAAATGTTCACTGGCAGATCTTGATGCCTTACTCAGTGCCCAACTATTTCAGCTTCAGGACTGTTCTTATTTTAGTTGGATCCCTTCAATTGCAACCCCCAATCAATACTTTTCCAAACTTGATGTTAACAAAGTAATAAAGGACAATGGAAAACTTGTAAAGTATGCATCGCTATTCTCTTCACACTAAGATCTGTCTGTCATTGTTTTAACCCAGAAAGAATTTATTTTCGTGCGTAATTAATTACAACGCCTAAATTTAATGGCCCAGATCTATACGTCATCAGCTGAGATTGGAGCAGACGTTTCCTCTTATGAGATCGGAGCAACTTAACAACACTTACGATGACGTCATTATGCCCAGAATGCCCTTGGGCCTTCACTAATCGGAATTTCCAACCAAGTACTTAGTGACGAGCATTCAACGTGTGCTTATCTGCTTGTTTTTTTGTATTTCTTGGTACTTAACGATCAATATTATCTTGAAGATCGTTCCAGAAGTAAGTATAGGATCATATATTTCATTTTTTCTCCGTTGTTTTTGCACATCAAGGAGGTTTTTGGCTCAAAAACACACAGTTTATCGTGTTGAGGTCTTATTTTTTTTCTCTCGTCGAGTTGTTTGTACAATTTTGCTTTGATTATTACGCATTGAAAACTTTCAGGCCACGTAAACATAGATGAAAATCATAATAGCTAAGTTTTTCTTGTCTATTTTTTTAATTGGTTTCTGATTTAGGTACGTATTCAAACTTTTTCTGCCTTTTTGAATGCTCCAAGCATCCTCTACACGTTAACTAACTCTTTACGTTCATTGTTTTTTTACGTTCAAGGTTTCGATTTATATCGCAATCTATTCAAATGTACGCAAGCTTATTGTTTCAAATTTATTTTTCAATGTATTAGCTTATCGCATTTTTCATCAGCCAAAAACATTATTTGTGATGTGTGCAGCTGGGTCTTCCAAAATGTATCCTAATGGACATTTTATCAATACTTGATCATTCCCTACCATTTTGTAAGAAATTTGGCATGGAATTCAGCTTGATTATCAACCTTCTTTTTGCAATTTCCTTATTTAACATATTTATCATATAGGTGCTTTGCTCAGTACTGTATTTTACTAGTATACCACTCTAAAATATTGTATTATTTTTCGTGCACAGCCTATCGGTCACCATTGTGGCTCCTTCAGAGGAGTAATACTATACACCCCTACTCTTCAGTTGTTGTAGAATGATGGCCGAATGTGATGTTGTAGTCCACGATTTTGTCAGTACAGGTCGAACTGGTCGACGAAATGCCATGCCAGATGTTATGTCGGCGCAGCATGCTCAAGTCAGTACAGCGGGACTAGCAGAAGTATTAGATTCAATAAACTTTGGGCCATCTACTTCTGGACAATCATGTCAAAGTACCTCTGTCGAAGGAGTTTCTCAAAAAGCTACTAGTTCTTGATTGATTTTATTTATTATTATGGATTTAATATGGTGGCTCAGTTAAGCTGTATATTTTTTGAAGTGCCGAAAGTATTTATCCTATGTACTGATGCCTTTCCGAGTATTTTGTGAATTGACTGGCAACTTGAGACCAACAACATCAAAGTTTCCCCCAGATTTGATAGATACTGATAGAAGTGCCGAAAGTATTTATCCTATATACTGATGCCTTTCCGTGTATTTTGTGAATTGACTGGCAACTTGAGACCAACAATGTCAAAGGTTCCCACAGATTTGATAGATACTTGGTCATTCTACATGTACTGTACATATAACTGTTCTACAAAATGATGCCTATTTACAGTGTGATAAACAAATCACAAGGATATAGACTCAGACTTGCCCATCTTAATAGTACACTCTTCACTTTTCATGACATACCAGAAACGTGTGACTTTAGCTTGTTGGTGATATATAGCTGACCAACTTTATTGAAAACACTATCAATTCAATTGAAGAATCGTTGTCGGGTTCAGAAACATAGAACATAAAAGCTGAGACCGAAATGGCACATGGGAAATGACATAATTATATTATCATTTATTCATTTGCGCCGTCCATGCAGTCGGTTTAGAATGCCAAATGCGTATTAAAAACAGTGGATGATGCCACGGGTTGCTGGTCACAGCATGCATCTAATTAACGTACTTCCCATGTGCCATTTTGGTCTCAGCTTCTATGTTTTATGTTTCTGAACCTGACAACGATTCTTCAATTGAGTGTATACACTGCTAGTGTACAACAAGAACAATATGTAATATACCTGGAATGCATCCCTTCCCATAAGAATTAAAAAAAGACATGGCTGTTATGTTCAGTTGATTTCAAATGTAACTATGACCAAATCTTTTGTTAAACACATCCAACATGGTGGCCGTAATATTGCATGTGCACCTCGGTGGACATTTGTCACTCAGCCACCATGTTTATTCCCATGAGCCAATAATTTACAGAAGCTTTTGTTCCTGTCTGAATAAACTCATTTGGAGCACTTGAATGCTAGCCTCCTATGCAGCTGTCCTTAGGGTGYGTTACACAACCTTTTCAATCAGTATGAACCTTCTTGATTTTAAAAGGTTTGTGCTGAATTGGTCAGTTTTTGGAAAGGATGTTCTGCTCAAGTAAGCTATGCTGTTAACAGCCCCTCTTCCCTCCTAACTCAGCAGTGAAGTTGAGTTTTTCCCCTAACTTGGTCGGGTGGTGAGGTGGGGGTTTGAAGCAGCACACAGGGAGAGGAGAAGTAGCAAGTAATCAGGCATCCGTGGGGAGGGAAACATTGTCAGACTGACCCTAAGGATGGCTGTGTAGGACGCTAATGCAAGGCTAGACTGGAAAATCTATCATTCCAGCTAACATGTCTGCCACATAAGAAAGGTCTGTGACTGAATTGATCAACTCTGCTACTTTAGCAAGCCAAAGTCAATAAATTTTAGTCATAAAACAAAATACAAATAATTGCAATTTTGTATGATGCCGCATGCAGTGAAAGCCAACCTGAAGAACATGGACTACTCCAGCAAGACCAGTCCAAAACATTTTACCATGTAAAGACCATAAATAAGCATTTTAACAGCTCATATTTATTATTACAACTGCAGTTTTTAAAAATGTAAAATTAAGATACATTTGTTAGAACTTGTACAGCTTCTCATTATCAATAAATAATATTAAAGTAAAATATTTGCTGTAAAGAAAAGTGTCTGTTTATTACCCAAAGGGCCAGAAGATCTGGACAAAGTAAACAGAATTTTAGTTGGATTGAATAGTATTTATGTTTTTCCAGTCCACTATTCTAAATACTGTGTTCTGATTGGCTATGTGAGCACTTCTATCCCTGTCATGAATGCATTGCCAACCTGAATTTTTTTTTTACAAAACAATATATTTACTGTCCAAATTAAATGTTGGTCCAGCTGAGCAGTGAATTTTGTTTCAGCCAATCACAACACGTTTAGATGTTTTGCCGACTGCCCTAATTAACAGGCTACTGTAAGCCAACTTTTGCATATTTTTCTAGTTTATCTTGACTAAAATGTATTATACATGCCTACAAGAAGCAGAAATATGGAAAGGAATAAAACAATTCCACTTTAGCACTACATTTGCTTTTTTCTTTTCAAGCTCCAAAAATGCTTATGGCCGGTCATTTGTCCACTTCCTGCATTCACTGCTCAGCTGGTAGGGAAAACTGTGCTCTCGGCCTTGAAAATGGACCAGCTCTGTAGGACTAAGTTTTTACCTAAATATTCAGATCTCCTAACTGGTAAATAACCTTTATTTCACAGAAGTATGTCTTGAGCTCTTTTCACTATCTCTGTTTCTATGCCTTTCTTCTTTTCTTCGTTCTCTGCTTCTTTCTATTCTACTGGTGTCCTCGTCGTCATCCTGATCAAACCTTGTTCTTTGACCTTCTTTGGTACTTTTATTATCTTCATCCTGGTTAAGCTCCTCAAGCATTTTCATTTGGGTTTCAATCAGATCCCGCATGACCTATATGCAAAAGGATTTACCATAAATAATTCAGAATTAAAATTGACACTGCTCTGTGCAGTGAATAGCCTCATATGCATYGTTCAGAGGCTGTGCAGTAAGAAGTGCAAAGAAACATGAGCTCTCAGTAGAAGAATATATGCAGTTTTCTGGTTACACTTCTTTGCAAAGCAAGAAATACCCACACAGGTGGTGTTTAACACTGTGCTGTTCACTAATACATCACAGTCTCAATCAAAACAACCTACTCTATGCTAATCTAAGCTATATAATAAAAACGTATTTTAACAAGCCTGCACGGTTACCTCAATGTTGGATCTCTTTGTCATGTGCACATTCTTAGCACGGTAACTCTGACGGCGTCGTTTATAGTCTCTCATTTCAGCAAGAGTATCCAGATGGGACTTTGGTACTGCTGCACCACCTAACATAAATAACATAGCATTCAACCCAGATATTAGTCTGCTTTGTAGCATGAGGGTTTATCCGTGTTGTGTTGTCTTATTATGACCAGAGGTTTTCCTGTGTATGGGAAGACCTCTTTATAAGACGAAGCAACACAGTAGGAAAAAATAGAAAGTGGGACTACAAAGCAGCTTAACCCAGAATAAGCAAATAATTAATGCTGCTCCATTTGTTAAATTCAAGTCTCCCCTCGCAGCCATTCTTAGTGGCTTCCTGATGGCACTAAGAATGACTTTGGAGGAGACTAATACATTATCAGTCATTTATAAATTCTGAATCATAACATCCTGACACTTTACAGATTTCATGGTAAAATTGTTTGCAACAAAAGTGTGTCTGTAAAATAAATGAATTTTGTGACTACCTCTTTCATCTCCAGTATTTTCTGCTATGTTCTGAAGCTCTTCTAGTTCATCTTCTGCAGCACGTCTTTTGATAGCTTTAGCTGTCTGCAATTATAAAGGAATGGCCTTTTCTCCATCATCATTMCCATCACCATCATCATCATCAACAACAATAACAACAAAAGCAATAATAATAATAAATAATAATAATGGGGAAATCACAATCTTCTCGGGAGCTTTACAATTATGATCCATTAGACATTTTCCCAATTTATAAAATCTTGCTTACTGCTAAGTATTAATCAGCTTTGTTTCGAAATATTCAAAGATGCCAACTAGGAGAAAGAATGCACAATATAAACAGTTGCACGAAAGAGATTCCCAACATCAATTGTCTTCACGCCAATTATCAGGGGAGGGGGAGAGTTAGCATTATTGGTATTACATTACCTGAACAACATAATCATACACTGCTAATCTCTGTTCTGAACTCAGGTCAAATTGAACTTTAGGCATTGGTAATTGAAGGTCTGATGATGTTTGCACATCTTGCAGTGAATCTTCACCTGTATTGTTAATGAAAAATTAGGAAAACAAGAAAAATTCAATGGTGACATAGTGCCACTGGGGTTTTGGTTTGATTCCTGTACTCAGCATCACATGAGGGAATCAAGGATAGCGTAGCTGTAGTGTAGTTGCTGCTGGGATCTTGGTTCAATCCCTAGTGGTACTCAGCATCATATGGGGGTACCAAGGATGGTGTAGCAGTAGTGCAGTTGCCTCTCACCTGGGTTGAGTCTCAGGTTCGATTCCTAAACTTGGCATCACATGTGAGTAAAATTTGTGAAGTATTTCTGTCTTTGATTTAATGGTTTTCTCTGGATGCTCCAGTTTTCCTACTTCCACAAAACCCAGAGATATTTGGTCATTTTGCCTACAAGTTGATTCGCCCACAAGTCAAGTGAAGGAGAAAGGTAACATTTGTGTCGAGGAAGGGAAAATGCACAAAAAAATAGACAATTATTCATTTCATTGTGTACCATTAAAGTGTGTTTTTCCTTGGGCAGCAGTGGATATTGCTGATTCAGCATTTGGTCTTGTATTCTAAAGATAATCAATAGATAACACTATCATCTTCATGGTAGCATCATAATCATCATCATGTCGACATTTTAGCACAAAACCAATGCAATGGATGGATGGATGAATCAATGTATAGTGGATGAATGGATTGTTAGGTGGGTGAGGGGTGGTTGTTTGGGTTGGTGGAGGAAGGGATAATTGGATGGATGACTGGATGTATGGATGAATCAATCAATGGATAGTGGATGAATGAATTAATGAATTGATAGGTGGGTGAGGGGTGGTTGTTTGGGTTGGCGGAGGAAGTAATAATAACTTTTATTGGATGGATTAATGGATGGATGAATTGATAGGTGGGTGAGGGGTGGTTGTTTTGGTTGGTGGTTGAATGGATAATTGGATGGATGGATGGGTGGATGGATTAATGAAACAATGGATAGTGGATGGATAAATGAATTGATAGGTGTGGATAATTTGATGGATAGATGAGTAAGTGAAACATTGAAAGAGTCAGTAAGTTACTTAGTGAACAAATAAGTACCAGCAGTCTGTAATTAACTGTTTCATACTCTACCTGTATATTTGACTGTTCATATTTAGTTGTCAGATGAGGACTACTTGGTGCGCCCTCAACTATATCATCCATGTTAGATGGTATGCACTCCCAAGGCTAGAAATAATTCACAATTCATATTAAAGATCTGGAATTATGCCATTTGGTACGCAGTCTTCCTGGATATTATGTGTACTGTCCAGGATTATCTAGACTAATTTTAGGGTCACGACCAAGAGTATACCACCACTCCACTAACATCCTATCAACACTCTACTGACACCCCACTTTCATTTCACCAACACCCTACAGACACCCTTGTTACATTATACTTATGGTACCCTACTGACACCCTTCTGATACCCTACCAATTCAACACCTTTACTCTTACCAGCACTCTACAGAGTTACATATTACATGAACTGCCCACCAACATTCTACCAGCATGTTACCAAACACTGCACAAGTTAACACTGTACTGACACCCTACAGATCACCCTACTGGTTCTCTACAAACACCACACCAGCACCCTACCAGTACCCTACTAGCACCCCACCGGCACCCTACAGATGCCCTACTGACACCCTACCAGCACCCTACCAGCACCCTACCGGCACCCTACAGATGCCCTACTGACACCCTACCAGCANGCCCTACTGACACCCTACCAGCACCCTACCAGCACCCTACCGGCACCCTACAGATGCCCTACTGACACCCTACCAGCACCCTACCAGCACCCTACAGATGCCCTACTGACACCCTACCAGCACCCTACCGGCACCCTACAGATGCCCTACTGACACCCTACCAGCACCCTACCGGCACCCTACAGATGCCCTACTGATACCCTACCAGCACCCTACCGGCACCCTAACTACCAGCACCCTGCAGATGCCCTACTGACACCCTATTGACTCCCTACCAACACCATTAATCCGTTACCAGCACTCTACAGATATTACACCAACATTCTACCAACTTGTACCAAATTACTGTACCAACATCTTACTGACTCCCTACAAACTTTGCACAGTAATACAGCAATACAGTAATGGAGAAAAGTCAAATATGACTTGCTACCTTGTTTCCATCTTTTGCAGCACTGGTTTCCCTATTGATTAAAAGAAATAAAAATTGACTTACATGTCAAAGTTACCTATTCAAAAATTATAACATAATCATAAAAACCAGACAATGAAAAAGTGCCCCAATGAAAAAGTGCCCAAAGTTGGGTTCTAAGTTCTTATAGAGGACACAGTCTTCGTATTTAATAGCTGTGACAAGACTTCAAATTAATGTAACTATAAATGTACTAGAGCAAAGGTAACAATGGTAATATTAATGTGTAGTTTATTTCACATACCTATCAGGTTCTTTCTTAATGCATTTAAAACTTTCATACTTTTTCTTATCTGTTTTGATTTAAAAAAGAATTAAAAGTTAACTGAGCGATTATATAATATATTTTTTTTATTGTGGACACTGTGGGAGCATCCACTTTAGGGAATCCAGGATAGTGTGGAGGCAATGCAGTTGCCTCGCACCTCTGGGGTCTCAGCCCAGGGGGTGACTCCGGGGTAAAAGTATCACGTATGTTCCTTGTATTTTTTAAGGGTCTTGAAATCAAAATTTAGAATTTTTTAGAATATTAGAATTTTGAATTTTAGCATATCTTTTCTTGCTTCTTTTAAGGTGGCTCTTAGGGTTAAAAAAATCATCCAAGCATGCCCTTTTCAAAAGACGTTAGGTATATATCTTTTAGGAGTATCCTGGAAATTTCTGATGAGCATACACAATACTTTTAACCCAGAGTCCCCCCCCCCC